TGTACAATTTCAACTATGACAAGTTGTTGCGGGTTGCCTAAATATGTGACGTCACACTGAAAGAGTCTATTCGATCTGGGCTATGCAATGTTGTCAAATTAAATTCTTTAAAGGAAAAGTTATTAAAAAGCAAATTTCCACACCGTGGAACGTTAATTTTGTTGAACGGGTGTTCGCCACGAGCTCTACCGTCCCACAAAAACTAGTTTTATTCTTTTAAATAAGATAAACTATGAAACAGTATTTAACAAGAAATCTAACAGAAAACTTAGGCAATAATCAATAATGATAAATGAAATACACAAAAATAAATAAATAATCTGTTTACTCACCTGATTTTTATAACATAACACACAAGGTTTTGTGGCATATTTTCGAGTACTGGTACCAAGATCCTCTTCCACGGGGTTTAAAATTTCTGGTTCAAAGATTTCATGTCTTTTAAATGTTGAACTAATCTGACAACATTTTGTTATTCGGTACTTATGGTGTAATCTATCTGATATCGTTTTCTTTGCTCCTGACAAAAACTAGACTCTAACCATATCGACTCTTTCTTGACTCATATACATATTTTTTCGTAATGTTCAAAAACTTGAAATTAAAACACAACATTTCACTGTATCTTCACTGAACACTGACATAAATAACTTTATAAGATTATACACTTACAGCACATAATGGCACTTTATGTACACCTTCCCCAAACCAATTCGGTCATCCTGTTTTAATCAGGGGTCGGCTTTTCCGCACCTTCAAAGGCAAGACATACCTCAACAGAACAGCTGTTTTTTTTAGTGTTTGATGCTTCGTCCATATTAACATTGAAAAAAATAATATGTTGACTCGTAATATTAAGTTAATCTGTTTTCACAAAATTATTTTTAATTAGTTTTGTTGTTTAACAGTTGATCAAAAAAATATATTTACAATTAGTAACATATCCATGTACCAATATTAGTTAATATTTAATAAGTCATGTAAAACGTTGATATTGCACTAACACAACTTCACACACAAATTCCGGGTGTCCCGGTTTGCGCCGCTCAGTTGTGGCGTATACAAGAATTAAAGTGCATTTAAAAAAACTAATCATAACCTGACTATTTACTACATTAAAAAAAAAATAAATAATTTCAGATTCGTGTTCAGGGGAACACGTACCTACTATTACCCCTAAAAAACTGACCCCCACTTAAAATTACACCCTGTATAATGTGACTAGATTTCCTTCTACTCTCGACGGACTTAAAATTATATCTTCCTCTTCACACATTTTTTCCAAATTGTGATCTTAAGTACGATACATATTTTAAAAGTAAAAGATGTAAATATGTATAATCTCCATAACTTTATTCATCAAAAATAATATCCAGATCCCTCACTGTTTCAGCCCTGGATAGCGGTACATATATCATTTATTTTATATTCATATAACATAGCCTTCTTTTCTTGGCGTATGTCATAGTAAGACATTTTTTTTATATCAATATGTAACAAATTGTCATATACATTGATATATTTTCTTTAAGTCATTTTGAAATGATATTGTATTTAACTGATTATCGACTTTAATATATTTTATATTTTTAAATTATCCACAATAAATAAATATTACCATGATGTAATAATTTGTAATGCGATGTAAATTAGAAATACCAGGTGCCCACGATTAGGTCCTTGAGGGACACTGGATAAAGCAATGAAATGAATGAATATAAATTTACGTTCAAATGTGACCTTGACCATGACCTTCATGGTGTCATTTAGAGGTCAACCTGAAAATTTTAAATGGAACCGTATATTTTTGACCCCGGAACAGATCTAATATATTGGACTAAACATTTGATTAAAAAAGTTTTCAAATTGACCTGTAAACGACCTCCAAGTTATAGTCAAAGTCACCGTTTGACTGCTCACTTTTAAGCCTAACATCTCGGTAATTTTTCCACTGATGAGAACCTTCGGAGACAGGCTGTTGGAAATACTGTGACCATTTCAGGGGTCAAAAATATACGGTTCCATTTAAAATTTTCAGGTTGACCTCTAAATGACCATGAAGGTCATGGTCAAGGTCACATTCGAACGTAAAATTTTCCGCTCTTACCATTTCCGGGGTCAAAAGTATAGTTCCATGTAAAATTTTCAACTTGACCTCTAAATGACCTTCAAGGTCATAGTCAAGGTCACCGTTGGATTGCTCACTCAAAACCCTGCAACTTTTGTCCTAATCATTTTTTTGTTTGAACAGTATTTTCTGATAGAGGGGGGGGGGGTCCAAACTTTTTGAACACCCTGTATAACCACATATGTAGACATATTGTTTTCTGTTTTGCAAATTAGCCGTAATTAGTTTAGGAAAATTGTCATGAAATCCGAATTAATTTTTAAGTTTATATAAAATGAAATCACGTTATATAGAATTAAATGCTTTCTGAAAGTCAGTATATATGGGGTGTAACTTTCCTGAACACGAATCTGAATTTTTTTTTCAAACAAATAAATATACGAGTTATAATTAGTTTTTTACAGGGTTCGTAATTCAAAAGTAATCTAGAATTCTCCGACTTTTCCAGCTTTTCCCTGACTTATAAAAGAAAAATTCAGGTCACTTGTAGGTCAATTTTACACACTAATTGGTGTTTATGCATTACACTTTTTCTAGACTGGACACTATAATCTATTTTATACCCAAAAAACCTCTTATAAAGGTTTCAAAACCACAAATAGTTTTCTTTCGAGAACTCGGAGACGGTTTTCACAAAACCTCCAGTTGCAAACATCAAATTACCTGACGTTCATAAATACTTTTAAAATTCCCCTGTTTTTTATGAAGAATAATTAATTTCCTGGCGTTTCCCGATATTCCCGGTTTTCCAGGAAAGTCACCATATTTTTTTCTATGTTAATGTGGACGAAGCGTCGAACACTAAAAAACCGCAGTTCTGTTGCGGTATGCCTTTGAAGGCACGAAAGAGTCGACTGTCCGAGCACCCGATTAAAATAGAAATGGCTGAAAACTGTATGTACTGTTTCATTTGGTTACATATTTGTTTAATCTTCGACTTTATCGGTTTGGGGCAGGTTGTACATAAAAGGTTTGTTTCAACAAGAGTCAGAGATTGGTTTCGAACCGTCAGAAATGTGCATCCAACTAATTCTTGCGATATATTCACTGAAGACACATTTAGAACTTAGGCCAAACATTTCGAACGGTTCGGAACTAATCCCTGACTCTTGTTGGAACAGACCTAAAATGAAATTATGTGCCAATGCAAACCTGGAGTTTCTGAAAAAACACCAACACAGTTAGGATAAGCCTTACAGCAAAGCCCTGCACCAGAAAACTTGACGTTTTTTTTTTTCTGTCTGTATTAGATTCATATTTACCACATAAATTAGACATTATTTATCCATTATAAGGCTTATACCACAAAATGAATATAATGATTTATAACACCACAGGGTGTCCCAGAATAGCGTTTCCAACGGAAGACCACAGATTTGGGGATAATAGGCAGATTTAGGCCAATTCACTCCCTAGATGGCCTCAAAGTTCGTGAACATTTTTTGAATTTTGTAAATAACTCAAATACGTATTATTCGATTCTGATTATTTTTGGGGTGTGGACTTTTGCTTTCAATCTACACATTTTGGTATTATACAGTATTTTTTACAATTTAAAATTTCTACAAAATTGATCTGTAGTGATAATATCCCTTCATAAATTTTTCCCCTTTGGGGCAATAATGACAACTATTTTTTATTTGATAGGTGATACCATTTGGAAGTTTTTGGGACTCTTATAGAATTTTTATTAAATGAGCGGTTTGGGTAAAAAAAAATATTTTTTAAATGTGTACATTATCTTGCCATCCATATTACAATACTTAACAAAGTGCTAGTAGGTTCTGATTTTGTAGGTTGACTGGAATTTCAGTATGATCTTATGATCAGTATGTCTAATGTCTAATGTCTAATGTCTAATGTCTAATGTCTAATTGAACATGTGTATTCTCAAGAAAATCCACATGCTGTCAAAGTGAAACATCAGCATGAATTTCGCATTAATGTTTGGTTTGGGATCGTTGACAGCATTACATTTGGCCCTGTTATTCTACCCAATAGACTGAATGGAGAATTTTATTTAGAATTTTTGCAAAACCCGAGTTATTGAAAGATGTGCCGTTATTACTCAGAGCTAACATGTGGTTTATGCATGATGGCACCCCACCACACTTCACTGTAAATGTTCGGCAGTATCTGAACCAAAGATGCCCTCGTCGATGGATCGGTAGAGGGGATAATGTTCCTGTTAACTGACCTGTACGTTCACCAGACTTAATACCTTGCGACTATTATCTTTGGAGCACTCTGAAAACAACAGTGCATGCTTCCACATCTAACACTGAAGAAGGGTTGTGGAGGCATATTCAATATGCCATAAATATTTTAAAAATGGCCCTTAGGAACTGCAAAGGGTGTCCTTTAACTTTCTTCGCCGAATTAACCTTTGTTGTAAGTGGTCATTTTGAAGTTTTTATAATAAATATAATATAATTAAATCAACTTTGTTACTTTTATCTACAACATTTTTTGTTCTATTTGATTGTTTTTAGGAATTATTTCAATAAAATTAGGCACGTAGATAACTCTAATCCGTCGTATGTGTGTATCCTGTCGCCACGGGCAAATTTCGAGTTTTGTTAGGACGCACCCCATTGGTCGAAGGGTTGCTCGTTCCTTTGACCGAGCATTTAAATACTCCGCCTCAAAGTCTTGCTCTGGACAGAGCCAGAGTGTGGACGTACAACGGTCGACTTTTAACTATCACTTTAACTTTCATCAACCGCCTTCCAGGTCGCGTTTATTTTTGCTTTGCTCTTTTATTCGCGTAACTGAGGTATACCAGGGGTCAGTTGTCTGAGCACCGGCCAACAATTGACTCCATAAATGAATTCGTCGACAACTCCACAAGAGAAAATTGGTATAACTTCTCTTATTCTGAGAAGTCAGCAGCTAAAATAAAAGAATTCAAACAGTCTATAATTTTCATTGCGAATTACACTAATAAATCGAGCAAGCACGTGCCACAATGAAGGGATTTCATCGGTGGAAGTTAGTAGCCATTGCCGAGCGCTTTGCAAGGATTACGGCTGGTTTCGCCCACAAAAAAAGAACACAAACAACTCGTTAGGAGGCCTAGTCCAGGGTGAAGTACCGGTACCAAATCCTAAGCCTTGGAAGAGCCTAGACAGTGCCGTTCGTTCTTGCGACGGGGTGCGACCATAAGACGCCCTGTAGGAAGTGAACAGGCCCAAGCAAGAAGAAAACGATTCCATAAAAAAATAAACTTGCTTCGTGCTCTGCCGGCACGATGTAAGTCGGATTACGTCCCCGCAAGGACTGAGGCCATGGAAGAGCAACGAAGAAAAACCATAAACGAAAAATTAAGTAGGTAACGTGGTATATTTTATTGTAGTAAACAATCATTAAGAACTGGCAGGTACAATGACTTAAAGATCAAATTGAAATTACAGTCAACCTACAAAATCAGTGACTACTAGCACTTTGTTAAGTATTCTAATTTGGGTGACAAGATAATGTAGAATTTAAAAATTATTTTTTTGTACCCAAACCGGTGATTTATAAACATTTTTTTAAGAGGCTCAAAAACTTCCAAATGGTATCACTTATCAAATAAAAAATAGTTGTCATTATTACCAGAAAGAGGAAAAAATTATGAACGGATATTATAACCATCATCAATTTTGTAGGAGTTTAAAAACATTTTGTATAACACTAAAATTTATAGTCCACACCCCAGAAATAATCAAAATCAATTAATACATATTCAAGTTATTTACAAAATTCAATAAAATTTCACGGACTTTCGAAGCGATTTCGGATATAGGAGAATTAGCCTAAATCTGCCTAATTTGAGTACACGAATCTGTGGTCTTCCATTGTACACGTTATTCTGGAACACACTGTATATAATTTTCAGTACAACTAAGAAAAAAAATTGTAATTGAATTAAAAGAACTAATTAATGAAACAAAGAAAATTTCAATAGCAATATCACACATGACTGTAGTCTAGCTATGCTAATTTATATTGACCACATTTACAAAAGTTACAACAGGTATGTAAAGGAATATGGTATTGTGGGTACACATGTTGCAAGTGACCCATTTTTAAGGACGTCAAGAACGCCGCCGGACGCACCAGGGGGTTCCCGGAAGCCGACCCCTGCAGAGTGGCGCCAGGACCAGGGACTTCTGCCACCGACTACCAAGCTACCTACGATTGACTTCAACCACAAGCACTCTCCAGCAAACTCTTAAACTGTCAATATTATTTTTTCTATACAAGTTTAGTTTTCAATAAAAATAGTTTATTTGTACCGTTGAGAGAGCGTTTTATTCTTGCTGTACCGCGAAAGCAACCATCAGTATGTTTCCACTCTTTTTTTTTATTTGGCCACTTCAGTAATGAATCGTTGCTAGACATATTAAATTAGTCCAAAATACGTATCTCCGCATTTGAAAAGCATTTACTATAAGCTGACTTCACATATATGATTTGATGGAATGGAACTTAAATGGGTTTGTTAAATTTTTATTTTAGTTTTGACTGTATCGGTTTACGTAAAGTGCCTTTGTTTGATGTTTATAAAATAATTTATTTTAGTGTTTAGTGATGGTAGTGTATTTTCAAGTTTTTGTATAATATGAAAAACATATATGCGAATCAAGAAAGGAGAAAGCGATGCTGCTTTAAGACGAAATTAGATGGATTGATGATTTGTACGAATAGTTCAACATTTAAGAGACTATGGCCACTTTGAACGACAATACTCTAATGTTGGATGGGAACAAACTCAGAGAATGATAAGGAAACAGAAATTTTAAACCTGGTGGAAGAGTACCCTGGTACAGGTACTCAAATATTAGCCACAAAATTTCATGTATGTCATATACTGTAAAAATCAGGTGATTTTACAGATTATTTACTTATTTTTGTTTATTTTATTCATAATTATTGATTAATACTTGAGTTTTCTATTAAATTACTTGTACTGTTTCGTAGTTTATCTCATTTAAAAGAATTAAATTTTCGTTATTGTGAGATGATAGAGCTCTGACAAACACCCACTCAACAAAAGTAACGCACCAAAGACCAGTACCCTATGGCGGGTGGTGCAGAATTTTGCTTTTTAGGTGCGCTGTTATTTAAGGTTACACTAGCTTGGTATAAAAAATTACTAAAAAATATTCTTTTCACGACGGAATTTGAAAAAATATACTATTGCTACATATATCTAAAGATCAAAGGTAGCCTCGGTATAAATATGTCCCCCACTCAAAGTTACATCCTGCACATATAAAACTGGTAATACGCTGTCATATCTATCATAAATCACTGTATTAAATTTACGATGTGCAGATGTTTGTAGTGAATAAATAAAAAAATTATTATTTTAGATTCTGGTTGTGGCAAAATCTGACGGTATACAGACTTATCTAATGCAATTTTGTATCATTTTTACATTACGAACAATTTGGATCAGTAACAGGTATTTTGAACAGTTTTATTTCGTAACTAAAAACAGACTGAGTGATTTAAGAAAAATTAGGTGATTTGTTGTGTAGCTACTGAAATGTATATAAAAACAAATTAAAATAATTTAAACATATAAAAAACATATTAGATCGTGATCCGCCATTTTGATATACATAAGAGCTGGCAAATTTAAATTCATGCAATTGTAAACAGTCGTACAATTGTCAACAGACATTGGCACTGGATGTTTCAAATTTCCTGACATGTAACGTTACTATTACTAAACAAATGATTTTGAATACTGTTTCTATATTAGTTGTGTGCAATATCTTTTCAATTCCAAAGCAGTACAAAAGCAGCAATTTGCTTTTATATGGGTAGTGAAAGATTTTTGTTATGCAAAAGAAGATCCAACATTAAAAATAATTAGAAATTAACAAAATGTACACATAAAGGTAAACAAATCTATGAAATGTATGTAATCTTTAGGCTAATACTTTCGCTTAAAAGTGTTTAGACTATAACCTGACGTCAGAGCATCTGATTGCTTTAATTTGAAGATTTATGACCAAACAACTGCTCTGGTTATCATCTCAAGATCATAACCGAAATAGTTTGGCTTATAAAACATTTAGCTCACCAATTAAATTGGCAGGAACATTTTATGTATCTACACAACATGTACGCGATTGGATAAAAAATATATTGAAATGTGCATTGGACATTTAAGTGTGCGAGAGACATAAGATGCTGATTTTTGGAGAGCATACTCTAAATTGTAAAAAAATATATTCAATTTAATAACAAATTTAGCAAAAGAAAAGTTACACCAGTCTAGAATACTGTCTATAAGTCTTTATTTGTGGCATTTTTAGTATTTTTTTTATTTCATAAAATTGACATTGACAGATCGTTTTGGCGCATAGGGTAATTTATACTCTTTTCAGAGTTGCACAAATACCCAATCAAATAGAAGTGAGTAGACCAGAATACTCCTAAATTCTTGACCGCCTGTAACTGGTAACTGCCGCAGAAAAATAAAAAAACTCACTAAATTATGTATTTTAGCGATATAGAACAAGTATAGCAGTACAAAATTTGATAGAAAATAAAGTGACTATTTAAACAACACTTGTTTTATAAAATTATCTGACAATAGAGTAGAAAATATACCAAGAAAAAAAATAAAACACTATTTAAGGTCTTCTTAAAAACTAAAATATGTAGTATATTGTTATAATAGCATAGCGTACCCGAGCAAATGCAAAATTGCGAGACAAAAAAGATACTTTTAATGATATTTTTCCTCCAACCGAAATCTCCCATTTAATAATTAATTTGTGCTTTGAAATTATTCAAACCAAATTTGAATAATAAAGGAGAGTAGATAAAAGTATGACATATTGATGTAGTCATGGATACTTTGTCAAACATTAATCGCCATATTGCTAATTAAGGTCATTTGTGATTGTTTTTGTGGTTCAATTTGTTGAAAACTCTGTAAAAAATAGAATCTAATGAAGATTTAGGTATACCTGAAGAGATACTGTGCGAAAGAGGTTTCTTTCAATTTTCTCCCAAAGAAATCTCGAGAAATTTATGAATGTGTTTACCAACATTTTATGGATTGGTGCAAAGAAAAAAACATTAAATTCTATTCAGAAAATGTATTGATGGTATATTTCTGAAACTTAGCAAGTAAAATGAATAAAATGTTCAATGTTGCAGTTAATTTTGGATATAAAGAAGAGGATTGATATAAGCAAATATTCAAAGTTACGTGGTTTTCTCAAGAGAGATATGTACCGAAAAAATTGCGAGTATCTACAAAGAAGCAAGTTGATTGATTTTTGAATAATGTACCCGATAGATTTGATAATGAAGGTAAATGCTTTAAAAATAAAAGAACATTTTTAAAAAGCTTCTTTATAGGTTGTCGTAATATTGGGGGTTGCAGATGCATGCCGTTCTGATGAATTAGTCAATTTAACAATTGATAATGTTGACGATGTGAAATCTGCCTTAATTATAAAAATTATCAATACCAAAACCAAGAGACCACATTCTTTTACTGTGCTGGGAGACAATTATTTAAATTTTTATAGAAAATATGTTGCTTTACGTCCATCCAGATTGGTAGAATGTCGATTATTTCTCAGATATGTTAGTGGAAAGTGTCATGGAATAGGGGTCGGTATTCATAAAATCACTGCCTTTTTGCAAGAAGTGGCAAAATTTTTGAAGCTAGACAACTGGAAAGAGTACAGTAGACAAGCATTACGACGAACGTCTGCTAGCCTTTTAGTTGATGGCAGTGGATGGAGATCGAGCACTGTGGCGGAAAGCTACACTGAACTCACTTTTGAATAAAGAAAATATTGCGAAAAGAATACTGAAAGTACAACATCTGAAAATAATATAACTGTTAATGGAAACATGTTGGACTGCTTTGAGAATTGCTCCAAGAATGAGGGTAACCTAAGGATTAAGTGTCAACTTTAGCTTCTAGGATTAAAAGTGAATACTTTTGAAGCTAAGATACTATTTTTTCTCTCAATAAGGAAAATGTCAGCCTTAGAGACTTTTGACGGTCTATAAAAATATCATAGTTTTGTGACAGAAAAATTAGGTTTATATTCATATTTACCTATAACAAAACCACCCTTACGCCAAGCAAAAAATCTAATACTGATGTCTAAAGCTGCATTTTAAACTTTTGTTTAGTGACGTCAGAGCACAGATTAATGTTTTCAAATATAATCAAAATGAAAAAAGGAAAATATAGATTCCATTTTTTTAACGTACATTTTGTAATATAATTAAAAATTTGATAAATATCCCACTACTTCTGGGATAATAATGATTAACAAATACTTTTATAATATTAAAATTAATTTAAGTACTTACTTTTTTCTTCCGCCTTATTCCATTTGGATTTATCCACATACCTCCAGTGTACGGGAGCTTTAGATGGTATCCACTGACTCATAAATTCTGTGGTAAGTATATCTGTATCAAGATCTGTAACTTCCCACAGCATTCCAACCATACAAGGGCTAAACATTTTTCCTTCGTTTTAATGTAATTATCATCGGTATGCAATACATTGGTGAAAATAATTCGTAAATGTAATAAAAAACGGGTTAACTTTTTTTATATTAAATATTATGTAAATAAAGAAAATTAAATATATATCTTCTGCCGAATTCACTTCTACCTATCTCTGTTAATAAGGGCTATAGAATAATAGCATGCGGCTCCTTTTCCTTGATTTTTTTTTAATTAAAGGCTATTTTAATTAAATAAATTAAAATTATAAAAAAGACTGTTTACATTTACGTTCATTTTTTAATAATACCAACGGAATTCATATTTTACCGACAACAATATGTGGTACTTACCACCTTGCAATGAGATACATGTGATAAGGACCGTACATTTCAACCTGAGGGTCCATACGATTTATTTTGGTACTGCCGCAACCAAAAAGTAACACGACAGCCTTCACTCGACTTCGTTGGATTTTATCCAGGGACAATAAATGACTCCCGCTACCGTGGCCATTATATCTAGAAGAAAACTAAGTAAACACGGAAAATAAACGTAAGAGTTTTATTTCTTTAAGCTTACGAAAATATGTCCGATGAAGTAAGTAGCTCAAAAAATTCCGTACTATCAAGCTGACAACCCGACGTGCCAGTCCAGTTCGGAGTCCAATAGTTAAAAAAATTCATCATTCTTATCTCCATGTTTATTAAATCCATGTCCGGATTAACGATGTAAGTTCCCTTGTCGAAATCTGTCACGATTTTGTGGCCGTCGACGATATCTTTTTCATGTTCTTTGAACAGTGTGTAAATAAACTGTAAGGATGGAACTCTCGAGACTGGTTCATCGTTGAGAACGTCTATCATTTCCCAAGGAAAACAGTCAAGAGTCTGGAAAATTGAAAATAAAACTGGAAAGTGAAACTTATATTTGGGGGTGAATTTTACTATGGCCCAAAAATGTTCCATTGAGAAAATACAGGGTGTTAAAATTTTAGGAAAAGAAGGATATTAATCATAATATTTTCGAAACGGCTTGAGATATTTCAGCAATATTTAGTACCTAGTGATAGTTAATAAAGGCGCATGTTTTTCAATACAAACATAATTTTTAGCTCTAACAGTGGCATGTGTACGAGCACTGACTGATATTTTTAAAGTAAAAAATGGTATGCCAATTTTTTTCTAAATAAAATTATTTTTGAAATCCTGTTCAATTCGAAAGATAAGAGCTCTCTTGAGTTTTTCTCCTGCGATGCACCCTTTTTGAGTTTGAGTTTTAGACTATAATTTATAAAGCAAACTATCATTAATTTTCCAAGTAGAATCACACCCATAAACATTTGCATATCATTAAGAAACACTCTGTATAATTTTGATACTTAAATATTTAAAAAATAGATTACATACACAGAGACTAAATTTAAGTAGACAACAGGAGTGGTTTTAATTTATTTATTATTTATTTAATTTTAGTTGTACAATTTTGACAGGTGTTTTTGGTAGTAATTAGTCTAACAAAAAGTTATAAGTCTATCATGGTTTGTGATTTGCCAACATTATAATTGATTTTTAATAAAAAATCAATAAAATTAACTATTAAATTTTCAATTGTAAACATTAAAAAAAGTACCACAAATTGTGACAATATGAACAACTTACTAACAATAAGTCAAACATTGGTAGATGTAAAACAGGTTTAAATATTTGAAACATGTTTTCCACAATATTTTAATTGAAATTAAATCAAATTTATCAATGCGGTTTTTGGGAGTAGTTAAATGAAATATTATAAAAGTAAAAAATGAATAATTTGTACATACCTCGTCTAATATTAATATAACTGGATGTTTTTTTTGATCTGTACTTGTTGAAATTTTATCACCCAAATTTCTGATGAACTGTGTAATGCTCCTCATTAAACTTTTATCTGTGATTTCAGGGAAACAATAGTGGATGGCTTTTATAATTTCTGCTAATTTTAGATGCTTCGTCCCTTTAACTACATAAGTCAAGAGAAAAAGAGTCCTAGTTGTTACTTCCAATTGCACGACCCTATAATTAAAAATGTATTATCATATTTATACAGGGTGTCCCACCAGAAATCGCCACTATTGATATCTCGGAAAGTTCTGATCCTATAAATCTGAAAATTTGGCAACCTAGCAAAAGCAGTAGGGCCAACGCAGCGAAAATATTTAGGACTTTATGGCACTTCCAGTTATACTGTCGAGATTAACTTTCTTATTTTAAATGGGACACCCAATATATTATTGCATTTTCGAATTCTAAGTGAAATTTGAAGGCCACTTTATTAAATATTCCCTATACCTAGGAGTTGTAGATTTTGAGAAATCGCAACCATAACAATGCTTACATGGCTTGAAAGGAAATTTCAAACTGCATACGACAGAGTAAAAAAATACAGGGTGATCCATTTAAGTTAATAATGTTATAACTGTTTGAAGTTATCAAAATCTAACAGCAAAAATTAAACACCTAATATTAAACGTTTTAATTTGTTGGATTTAGTATGTCTTTTACAGGTACCAAAAATTCTCTTAATGCCACGCTCCTGAAAAGAGTTACTAGCATGTCCGCGCACCCTTACATCTGTCAATAATGTATTTTATTGAAAACTAAGTTGTATAGAAAAAGATGTGTTGACGGGGCGAATGTTCGCTGGAGAGTTGCTCTGTGTGGAGTCGGTCGTAGGTATATGAGTAAGCATCTGGTCGCCGGCGCCAGTCCGTCGTAGACCCTTCTTGGAACGCTGGTGTGTCCGGCGGAGTCCTGCTGGCGCTCTTGAAAAAATGGGTAACTTGCGGCATGTGTACCCACATATGTATCTCAAAATCTATATCTCCTAGGTATAGGGAATATTTAAAAAAGTGACCTTGTTTCACATAGAATCTGAAAATGCAATAATATATAGGGTGCCCCATTTAAAATAAGAAAGTTAATGTCAACTTCGGGTATAAGGGAAGTGCCATAAAATTATAAATATTTTAGCTGTGTTGGCTCTACTGTCTTTGCTAGGTTGCCAACTTTTCAGATTTATCAGATCAGTGCTTTCCAAGATATCGATAGTGGCGATTCCTGGTGGAACACCCTGTAAGTATATAGTAGTCGATGTTGGAGTGCCACAATGCTTACTCTGTCTTAAAGAAATTTATAAGTTCCACTTTAATCATTTCATCTAAAGATTCATCAGTGTATTTACCACTTAACAAGCACCTCCATTCTTTTAACCACATATTTTGGATATCTTTAATAATAGCCTAAAAAAAAAGAAAAGATGCCTTTTCTAACATTTGTAGTTCTTTAATATTATTAGCTTTGATATTATCTTATAGCAGGTGTCCAATGAAAAATATTTCTTCATCATTTTTACGAATTAAAATTAGGTAAGTTGTAAATAACTCTAATTTGTCTTATGTGTGTATCCATATCGAAAAATGAAGTAACTTGTTGTATATCTTATCATAGTAAACACTCATTAAGAATTGGCAGATACAATGACTTAAATATCAAACTGAAATTATAGTCAACCTACAAAATCAGTGCCTACTAGCACTTTGTTAAGTATTGTAATATGGGGGCCAAGGTAATAGTCCACCGGCCCACGTTCAAAGAAAAAAATGATTACCAGCCAGCTGTAACTTTGGGTGCAGCTTAAGTTTGACAAGTCTCCCAAGATTTGACTACGACGAAAATTCAACAGTGGTAAGATTTCCCGTGATTTTCCTTCCATAAATAAGATCCACATTAGACGCCTTCATTATAGCCATAATTCTCTATCGCACGGATTTCTATGACTTACTTTATCGCTCTCACATAACGGCCGATGAACCATGGGGACTTTCCGACCCTGTATACAGGCTATTACAAATTTGTTTCTCACTACAGGGATCTCGGAAACGGTACGAGATACGAAGTAGCTTAAATGGGATCAAAGTTGCATAATCAAGGGACCAACATTATGCCTTCAAAAAATCAAGGTTAACATGAGTAGTTTTTGAAATACTTATTTGAAAAAAAAAACGAAATTTTGGAAATCCGTTTTTGTTTCACTTCAGCCTTGTTTGAGGTGATATTGAAAAAAGAAGAACACTTTTTTCCCTCTATCGAATGGAATAATCAATTTTTAAATGAAATGTTTCATCTCTCAAGGACCATCATCAACTTCATATTTTTAAATATAACCCTGTAAATTTTATTACATTGTTTGCAAGCCTTCATGACCCCCAATACTGTACTGCTTCAACTCGAAGCAGATTCAAACGGATTACCCAAATTTCGTTTTTTTTTAATATTTTGAAAACTAATCATGCTAGTCTTGATTTTTTTGAGGCATCCCCTGATTATGCAACTTTGCCCCCATTTAAGAGACTTGGTATCTCTTACTGTTTCCGAGATCCTTGTATTGAGAAAAGAATTTGTAACAGCCTGTAGGTGAATTAGCCTAAATCTGCCTATTTTGAGTCCACAAATCTGTGATCTTCCATTGTACACGTTATTCGGGGACACCCGTACAGTGCTGAGGATGACAATGCATGTTAAGAATATAGTCTCTCTATGAAGTCAAGAAACAAGTGAGACTGTTGAATTGATTTATTTAAAATTTCTTTTTCTTCAGTGTCTGACATACCTAATCAAATAAAAGTAATAAAAATAATAGCTCATTATCATGATATGGATTTAATTATTTTGTTTTATTGACGAAAATATCAGATGTCGTAATGGCACATAGTTTTAAATCTGCATTTTAGGAAGACTATACAGACTATACAAATGTTTTACCGAACTTTAATTATTATTATTAAATTCAACAAAAAGAAAGGTATCTGTTGTGAGTGGCAATAATTTTTGTGATGGTCATGGAAAGTCGGTGATATTTGACAAAACTTCTGTATGAACACTCAATTCGATTCAACTGGACTACCGTTTGGAATTGATTCTCGTGCCGTGTTGTACCAAGTAAATGGCACATCTTTAAGATAAAATTAAATCAACTGACTAAATTATAATAATTATAGATTTATTTTACCTTTAACCTATTCTCTATTGACTGTCTCCTACTCATATAGTTTAATTTTTCCTTGTGATTTTTAAAAACTTTCTGTTTATGTGACATTAATGCTTCTTTATTTCCTTTAATTATAGACATCATCTCCTGAGCTAACTCAACACAATTACCTGTAATAAAATTTGCATCTTTACAAGGTTTTTCAAATTGAATGTGATAACTTTGTTACCTTAGAAACTGTCAAAATACATTATAAAAGGGATTTAGTCTTTATTCTATTTAAATATAAAATAGGATTTTTATCACAGTGTTTCATCTTTCAACAACTAACATCAATTTAATTCGTCAGTGCCGCGAAAAACAACTACTCCGAGGGCTATTTGCCCCTACCGGCATTGAATTACATTCGCGACACCCAGTACAACAGCTAGGATCGCTCATCAGCTGGTCCCACCAGGCACAGACCGGTTTCGGACTTATTAGTCCTCATCAGTGTGTCATAGGTAGGACAACCAATCAATCAACAATCAATTTAATTATTTTTTTCAATAGAAACCTACACTGAATTCTTCTATTTCTTAAAAATTATATTTTAGTGATTACTAACTTTTTAATCTAGAGAACTCATTATCAAAATAAATTTTCTTCATGGTTATTATACAGGATGTCACCGAACAAATGTTACATACTTCAAGGGGATAATCTAGAACCCAAATGGTGTCGATATAACCAAATTGCTTAAACGAAAAATATCGCAAAAAAGTTACAGGGTGTTACAATTTCTTTTTTATTTCTCATTTTCTCTTTAACTCAGAAGCCAGTTAACCGATATCGGCAAAATTTGCTGCTGCTTAGTTTCTCTTCAAGAAGTGATTATGTTCCTATTAGGTTAAATCTTACATTTTACTACAATATTGAATATTCTTCTGTAACTTTTTAGTACGTTTAAATTTTTACACGTAACTATCAGAACTACGTAGACAATTTTATTCTTCACAAAAAATGTATACCTATCAAAAGTCGAAATTATGCTCATATATGAAGATATTACAGAAAATATTTATTAGCACATACCCTATATTTTTTGGAAATAACTACGTACCCATAACAATTTGAATAGTCGCTGTCAAGTTTGTATTTTGCAAGTTTTTTCTGAGAATGCCTGGTCACAATGAATTTACGAATTATGAAATGAGAGACATGATAGTGGTATATGTATAAGAACGTTTTACTGGACGCGTAGCTAAGAGAACATATGAAGAACTTTATCCAAATCGTAGATAGCCTTCTCATACATTGTTTGCTTCTTTATTCACCAGATTAGGAGAAACTGGAAACTTTGGATTTAATTCACAAAATGGAAGGTATGTTCAAAGAAAGGTACGAAACAAAGAACAAATTCTAGAAAGAGTAGAAGAAAATCCCAAAATTAGTATTTCTTTTTTTCAGCAGCCACAGGAGTCGGCTGCAAAACCATTACACGCAGCAGTTACGTTTCCATTTTCACCCTGTACGAAATTTGCTTGAACCAGACCGCCTGCTGAAATTAACATTTTGCAAACGATTTCTCCAGATACATAACCGGGGAACACTTTTCTGGGGAGAATTGCCTTTACAGATGAAGCTGTTTTTACCCGTAGAGGCATTTTTAATTGGAAAAACTCTCACATGTGGAGCGAAGAAAATCCACGGGCAATAAAAGAGCATCACTACAACACAAATTTTCAGTTAACGTCTGATGCGGGATTGTAGAAAATTTTATTTTGGCTAAATCGACACCATTTGGATTCTAGATTATACCCTGAAGTATAACATTCGTTAGGTGACAACCTGTAAATGCATTCAATATGTGTGGTGCATTTATGCACTTAGTAGTGGCATTTAAAAATATTACCATTAACAGCATCCTTAGGTGCGTCAACAGTTACCAAGAAAGGACTTTGTTCACTTTGTCCACAACTAAAAACGGCAATGTGAATTGGATTTGTCTGATAAATATTATTATCCTCATTAATATTATCCAAAGGATTATACTGGGATGTTAGCTGAATTAAAGTCCACTCTGAAAATTAAAAAAAAAAGAAATATTTTATAAAAAACAAGACAAAAAAATGTTCAATTTCTTTTGTTACTAAACAGCAGAAGATTACAGATACATATATTTTTATTATGAAAAATGTCAACTGAGAAATATGTTCCCCATCAATAATTTTGAATAAATGAAATGATACACTGTGAACAAATTTATTTGAAAGTAATATGAAGATTCAGAATTTACGTGATTATATTAAAACAGTGTGAGTTAGGGATACCAATCTTACCTTTCGGCATCTGTTCTACTTGTTCCAACATGGCCCTTATGCTGTTCTCTATCTGATCGGTAGGGCACTTAAATGCAATTTCATCTTTAGCAGAAATTAGAGGTCCTTTAGACATAGGTTCGACATCACAAGATAAGAATTTTTCATATCTCAATGCAGCCTTATTTCTTAATCCTGGCGAATGAGACTGAGCAAGGTTGTATATTGCAGCCAATTCATTACTTGCTTGATCATTTAATGCTTTATATTGCTGAAGTCCTATAGGTATAAGAAGAATGTTACATTATTATATTTTGATACAAATATGACATTCATATTTAAATATTTTTTCTGCAAGGCAATAACAGAAAAAAATTAATTACCTAGTAAACTTTTTAGGTAATATTTGTAGTAACTTATTAGGTACATGAATTATACAAATATATATATATGGTAACCCTTTCTCCACTTCGGGAAGACCACTATTGCAAGTTCCCGAATGCTGTACATATATCTGTAGATTTACTGTGACAGTATTCGAATCTGCAGTTGTAGTACGGCGATACAGTATGAGTCGCACAGGACTGCATCTTAGACACCTCAGTTACCATTGTTAAGTACTACCACATTTACAACAAGAAAATTCAGCAAATTCAGCAAAAATTTATTGTAATAATTAAGTTTGGCACTTCATACTCTGTTCTAGAATCTATTTTTCATATTGGTTCCTCAGAATCCCGAATAAAAAATGACCCAAAATTGTTTTATAACAAAGGTAAGCATATATCACAAATCTTGAAAAAATAGACTTTCATATTCCCTCTAGGACGTATCATTTCCATTGTGCCTTATGTGTGCCACTTCATTCAAGAAATTAAAAATAATGGTGTTCGTTCATTTATTTTTACATATCACATGTAGACTAGCTGATTTATAAAATCCTGATTGTTTTTGGACCAGTCAAAATTTTTATGCAATCTCAAATCTTAAAATATTGATATTCTGAATATTTTTTGTTTATTTCAGATTTTACTGATTTATTTAAAAGATTTAGTTTCAACATTTTAAGTGTAATACAATTATTTCATTACATAGGTACATTTAGTAGTATAAGACTATGCTAAAAGCCTATTCAAGAATAAATAAAATAAGTAAATATTCATTTACATGCATATTTAAAAAATATATATGTAAGTATATTTATAAGAAAAAATTAGTTTTTACTAATTACAATCTCTAACAGATCTTGCTGTATTTGTGAGACTTTAAAATTTACTTACTTTGAAATTGAATTCCAGATGGGTAATGAATATTTTGAAGCTCTTTTAGAATCCGAGATATTTCTTCATGTTTTTCGTTCATTTTTTAATTGTTTAAATTCAACTGACAGTTATAAAAACATTATAGGTTAGGTAAGCGTTGCCAACATAGATTTAATAGTACTTCTCTGATTTCCATTGATGCACTGAGTGCGCATTCAGTGTATCTCCATCCTGTATTATCTACAGTGATAATAAAAGATGGACATATACTCGGTGCGCACTTACAATTAGTGTGTCAATGGAAATCGCCATTAATGTTGAGTTGGAACGGGACTGTTGGGACAACAGACCACCTAGACTGGCCGTATCTAATTCCAATGCACGGGTACCAGTGAATGCAAAATCCGGGGTAGTGGAATGCGGAAGGCAGTCTGATCGCGGGTTGGATTACGGCTCAGGGGTCTGGTCCGTAACTTTTTTCAGAATCGACGAAAAAATCTGAAATTTGGTATGGGGGCACTGTGAACGATGATCTACCGATTGCCTTTATCAGCTGCACCGTCGCCGCCCCCGGGGGCGGCAACCACGCCGGGGGCGGCGAAAACATGCAGATACGTCTGTTTCGTCGATCTCATCGTGTTCTACGTCCCGAGTTACCCCTGTAGCCCAAATTTCAGATTTTTATTCCAAAAAGTTAGGTAAAAAGTTTTTGGACTTAGAATTTCATACTTCTTTTTTATTATTTAACTGGAAATAAATAATACTTTCATGTGTTTTTTTTTAATATCTTTTATTTGAAAAATGACTTATTTTGAAAGCAATAATGTATATACATACATACATTTTTTCGAAATTTATTATGTTCTGTAAAAAATTAAACCAAAGTTGTGTGCGAATTGTACTCAAGGAACATTCTTGCAAGACTTGCAAAATATCACCTTTCAGTAATATTACAAATAAAGGTAGTAGGTAGGTAGGTAGGTAGGTAGGTAATATTACAAATAAAGTTCTTGTGACATTTTTTTTTATTTCTGGACACCCCGTACACCATTTGTTAAGTTTCACCATGGCAACCTCATTTTAAATTCAAGCAAAACTTTTTTATGAAATAATAATAAATAATTTTTATGAATTGATAATTATGAAAAATACCTTGAAAATTTTTTCAGGACATGATTTNAGGGTTCACAGAGAGACCCTCAGGGAACAGATTCGGCTCCTTGATGCGCAGGAGCTCTCCCTCGATAGGAAGGAGCGGTCTGCCAACAAGGCAAAGAAAAAATATGAGGTCATCGCTGCAAAATTTAGTGAAATTAATAATTAAATATAAAAATATTTTATTATTATTAATTTTGTTAAATTGCAGATGCTTTTAATCTTCTTTTTTATATATTTATGTGTTGTAATAAATCTTATATTTGTAGTGTAGTTTAAAAAAATATATTTAAATATAGTATTATTATTTATTCATTTGTTTTCTTTACCAATTGAAACCTAAAATATATATGAAATAATAAAACATTCTTTTTGTGATTACCTAGTTTTTGACAAGTAAAATAAAAAATATTTTTATTACAAATATATTTTCTTGTGAACATTAAAATAAAAATATATGCTACATATTAATTAAATAAACCATATTAAAAGAAGTAGTTTTTTTTTTATCATATAAAATATTATTAATTAATACAATTGATTATAGTTTACATTTCAAATATTAAAAATTAAATTAAAAACAAATATTACCTAAATAACGTTGTTAGAATATTTATGGTGTTTTTTGTTGTAGTGTTTTATGTTTTTTAAATTCTAAACGCAATACACCAGTCATGTGTAAGGTGGTTGAATTCCTGGCTAAGAAATAAACAAATTTCAGTCGATTTCAGGTACTGAAATCTTGAAAGCTAAAACGTGTAGAACAAAAATAAGCACCGAAATAAAATCTTTGATGTATATTCATTACTATTTAAGTTTTGCTTATATAAAATAATTATTTTAAAAACATGTTTGTAAAACATGTGTTTTCAGCTATCCTAACCCTACATTTTAACAAATTTTTCACATATTTACAAATAAAAATAAACAATTTTATATGTATGATTATGAAAGTATATGTTATAAGATTACTTACATGTGGATGTGTATTTACAAAAAATAGATATTTTCATAGATTTCAGTACCTAAAACCTTGTTGGTTTGATCAACTTTTATATCTGTTTTCATGTTTTATTGCAGACATCTTTGCACATATCATCCATGTTATTAGATAAACTTTGGACTATTCAGTTACTAAATGTTCAAAATTATTTGTCTTCAGATTCAGTGTATATACAAGGCTCGATAAAAATTGTTTACAAATTTCAGAAGAAAAACTATGACAAAACATTCACTGCATAATTTACTTGGAACAGAAAATATAGTATATAAGGATTTATTTTATAGTATATGTACGGGGTAGAATAAACAACATTCAATACAAATATTTTTATTTCCTAACTATTGCAAAACATTCACATGGAATATAAGACATTGTAGACAAAAGTTTATTTCAAATACATAACATTATCAAATATTAATAATCATTTAATTAATCCATTTTCATGCTTCATCTTGGATAAATATAATGTTCGTTGTTGTACCAATTTTTCCTTTACTAACCATATATACAGGTCGACTTCTTAATGCATCGTTAAAGTTTTCAATACCTTCCTTTTCAAAATGTATGTAAAATCTTCTTGGTAAGTAGCAGGTAAAATTTTCAGTTTCGGCCACAATACCGTCACCAAATTTGGTTTTACTAAACCTCAGTTTCACTATTTTATACTTTTGATTTATATGTAAATCTTTAATATTCTTCAGTTCTTTATATGAAGTTGCCTTGTTCAACTTTTGCAGATCCATGTTGAATGTAAATGAATGTTATAACTGAGTTCAAATAAGTCTCATATATGTATATATACCTTACCCGACCATATTTCTCCAGTACCTCCTCTATCTTATTTACCCTCCTACTTTTTATAGTGGAAGGGTTAGGCTATCAGGATATATATACCTGCATTAAACAAGTAAATGTATCATTATTTCAACATTTACAATTATTTAACTTGAAAATATATATTTTCTTATTAATATGGTTTACAGGGGTAAGTAATAATTGAAACCTTAATATCTCGGAAATAATAAATTATTTTTTTGTGATTATCTGGTTTTTGACTAATATATATTTGTTACAGATTTTGTCAATTGTCCATTAGTTCCCAATCATCGTCTCTTACGACGTCGGTTGGCAAAACATTTGAAAAAATGTAGACGAGACCTGTATCAGCAACAATTAGTTGCCCGTAATCGTTTCTTACGACGTTGGTTGGTAGAACATTTGATAAAATGCAGCCTGTATCAGCAACAAAATTTAAATCTAAGGAACTGGGAGAGCATCAATGATGGACAACAGAGCACTGTTAACAATGGGCCATGGGTTGCTCAACAGGAGGGACAGGGATCATATTGGAATAACGCTCCAAATGATGATCTCAGGAATTTAATTCAGAGAAACCGGGAGCGTATCAATGATGAACAACAGAGCACTGTTAACGAAGGGCCATCGAATGCTCAACAGGAGGTAGAGGAATCAAATTGGAATAACGTTCCAAACGAAGATCTCAGCAATTGGCTACCACATTTGCAAATGTGGTTAAATCTATCACAAAATAATGTTTGAATTATATTGTATTGTTTTAATAAATAATATTTTAAAAGCTCACTGTGTTTTATTTTTATATAACAAAAAGTAATGAAATTCCCATATTAAAACAAATGTTATATGATTCAAAAAAAACATTATAACATTAGACGCACTAGCAACAACAGTTACTTGGAATTATTTTTATCAAAGTAAGAACTAGGAACATGCTTCGATCCATCTGCATCCTTAAAATAATCCTTAGTTTCACATGGGAAACATTTTCTGTTTGGTAGGTCGCAATCTCCTCCGCATTTGATGCACTTATACTTTACTGGAACAGGCATATTGCAATCAATAAATAAAACTGTTCAGCACAATTCTAATGTAATAATGATTGAAGAAATCTAAAGTCACCTACTTTTATACCAGCACACACACACACACACACACCAGACAGGTTAGGTATCCTCAAAATAATACACAAATATGAGTATAAAACTTTATTTTATAGTTAGAAATATGTTAACAAAATCTTTCATAGTAAATACGCGATCGATGATTATTATCTAAAATACTACTTATAGTAAATGATACATCGTTAATTCTTTTCTGAAAGTGAGCTCTATCACTGATCAATTCCATCCAATTTGATTTTCTTGCCTTTTCAAACCAGCCATCAGGGTCCATAAGTATATAAGTTTTATTATTATCCAAGTTAAACACAACCCGCTTTTGACCACTCATTGTATCAGAAGAAATGCTAAAAAATCATCAACAACCCTACTAATAATAATAGATCCATACATAAATAATACTTCTAGTCTTCACGAACGGTCATCAACCTCTAACGCGCATACGTCAGCCGATGTGACGTAGCCGGCTGAAAGCTATGCCGATCCTGCTCCAGTCGCCACCTTGAATTGTGGAGCAGAATCGGCACAGCTATTCTACTGACCATGTTTTTCTAGTTTTCGGTGCTCCAGAAACGCTCATAGTCGACAATGGTCCCCAGTTCCGTAGTCATTCATTCCGAGCTCTACTTGAGAACTATCAAGTTACAGTGTCCTATACAGCGAATTATCACCCCCAAGCCAATCCTGTCGAAAGACAACACAGGGTCATAAAAACTATGCTATCGGCTTATGTAAAAGACAAACATCCCCAGTGGGAAAAATACCTTGCTAAAGTCGGTGCCGCTATACGATCAGCAAAGTCTGATGTCACAAAGTTAACTCCAAATTTTGTGAATTTTGGGCGCGAAGTTTATTTTTCCGGTAGTCGTGATGATCCCCCAACTGACACTCCCGCCGTTTCCGCTCATGACGATCCTAGAGGTGTTTCGGTAGCACTTAACAAAGTATTTGAAGACGTCCATAAGCGGTTAATAGACGCTTATAAGAAAACAAAAATACCGTATGATCTACGGCGTAGGGATGAACGCTTTCAGTTAGGACAAGCGGTTTGGAAAAAAAATTATGTACTCTC